TGGGACTACCTCTGACTTCTGGGTGATCAGGAAAATGATTGCTGTGTTGAAGGAAGATCAAAGACACCTGTGTGATGGAGTGGAAGGGTTGAGCAGGAGAGTGGTTGGAGTTGAGGACAGAGGTTCATGAGGCAGAGGTTCATCATGTACTCCCTTGCAGACCACTAGACTCTGAGCTAAAGCCAATTGGGACTTCTTGAGCACAGAAGTGAAATGTTCTGACTTATGTTTTAAGAAGATCATTCTGGCTGCTGTATTGAGAATGGTTTGAAAGTAAGTGAAGACAAAAGAATGAAGAGGTTATTGCCAAAATTCAAGCTTGAAATGAAGATGGGTAGGAAGAGGGAGGTATCGACAGAGGAAATTAAATGTGATCAGACTCCAAGTGCAAAAGACAGGTAATGAATGGAATTGCCATTTGTTGTGATAAGGAGAACTAGAAAAAGCAGATGAAGGGAAACAGGAGAGTCTGAGATGTTAAGTTTGAAATTCCTCTTCAACATCCAAGCGCAGATGTAAGCAAGCAGTTGTATGTTTAAGTGTGGGATTAAGGGATGCTATTCAAGCTAGAATGGTATATTTGTGAGGCATATGGTATTTGGATGGTATTTAAAGTCACGAGACTGGATGAATCAACTAAGCACAATGATTCTCATATTTACCCTCATAATAGATCAGGGTCTTCCTGGGAACTCTGGACCAATCTTTGAGAATCACAACTTAAAAAATAAACTAATATATATGAAAGTATTAATCTTTGATGGAGTTATTTAGTGATATATGATCATTTTTCTTAAAATTTGGCTAATTTTCTGGCCCATTGCATGGAAAATTGATATGGTATTTGATATTCAAAATTATTAAGCTGCAATACTTTTATTTTATTACTTTTATGTTTTTTTTCCTTGGGCACTTAAAATCAAATGATAGTTTTTTAAGTATTCATTGAAATCAAAAGACTTATGGTGCTATGTGTGGCACAAGGAGCATGTGATATTTACTATTCCTGCTCATAATCACAAATGTGAAGTCATTACAACTGTATAGGTGTGTAACACTGCAAATATCTATCACAACTTTAGTAAATAACATTATATATAGCTTGAGCCTTTTTAAACATAAATTCCACATCATTTTCATCTTTACATTCTCTGTAGCATCTAGCATAGTGTGAAAATGATTCTAGAGTCAATAGTAAAAAAATTAAATAAAATAAGCAAAAGAAATATGGTTCTTGTCTTCAAAAAACTTTCAGTATAATAGAGACATAGAGGTTACACAGCTCAACTTAGCACAACTGAAGACAATAATTATAGTCCAAATATTAAAAAAAAATTATTATTTATTGGATATTTTCTGTTTATGTACCATGGCTTTAAATCTTGAGAGCATTCTGAATAATAGAGTTTTAAAATACTTAAAATTACAAAATAAGAAAGCTAGTAAGTTGAAATTGTCCTAAATGTCTGCCTTCCAGTTTGTATGGAACATATGAGTGTATGAAAGTCACATTTTTTTTAATCAATTTGATAAAAATAATACAGATTTTCTGTTAGGGAATATAAAGTTGTCTTTGATTACAAGGACACAGGGCTGCCTCCATTC